TGTTCATTGGTATATTAGTTTCTTATTGCTATTGTCTATTGCCAAATCTATTGCCACAGATTTGGTGGCTTTAAGTAACACAAATTTATCATAAAGTCCTGGAGGTTACAGGTCCGAAATGGGTCTCACTGGGCTAAAATTGAAGTGTCAGCAGAGCTACATTCCTTCTAAAGGCTCTAGGGAGAATTCATTTTCTTGTCTTTCCAGGTTCTATAGGTAGCCTACATTCCTTGGCTTTTGGTCCCCATCTATCTTCAAAGACAACAATAGCCAGTCAAGTCCTTCCCATGTCAGATCACACTAAACACCAAAATTTGTCTCCTTTCACTTAGCAAGACCTTTGTGATCACCTTGGTTCCACCCAATTATTCCATAATATTCTTCCCATCTGAGAGGCAGTAGATTGGACAACCTTAATTTTGGCAACCCTTTGCCATGTAACATATATTCACAGCTGAGATTAGGACATTGACATCTTTGGGAGCCATTATTCGACGTTCCACAGCTGGGGACCAGAGATAGAGAGAATTTGGCTTTTGCTCTGAAGTGGGAAGTAACTGGAGTGTGTTAAGCAGAGGATTGATGTGATTTGGCTTGTGTTCTAAAAGGCTCAAACCAGATACTGCTTGAAGAATATACAGTGAGGGGGATGTGCAAGGGTGGAGTTAAAACAGGATTCACTGACAGATTGGATGTGGAATATAAAATAAAGCGGAGTTAACAATGTCTTCACCAGCACTGCACAAGGTTTCCTGTCATTCTGCATTCTCCTTATACTTGATATTATCTGCCTTTCTAAAGTCTTACCATTCTGATGATAATAAATATGCATTTCTATTAATATGATTGATAGTAAATCTGTCTCTTTATGTACTCAATCTATTTGGGTTTCCCTAATCTGCAGATTATGTCTTTATATACTTTGTCCTTTTTTCTATTATATTTTCTTTTTCCTACTTTTTTTTTTTGGAGTTTTTGGCCAGGGCTGGGTTTGAATCCACCACCTCTGGTATATGGGGCTGGCACCCTACTCCTTTCACCCACAGGTGCCACCCCCTACATATTTTGTGGGAGTTATTTATTACAGTCTACCACCCAGGCTGGAGTACAGTGGTATAATCATGGTTCACTATAATTTGAAACTCCTGAGTTAAAGTGCTCCCTTCCCCCAGGCTCCCTAGCAACTAGGACTGTAGATAGGCATGCATCATCATACCTGGGTAATTGTTTTTTTTTGAGACAGAGCCTCAAGCTGTTGCCCTAGGTAGAGTGCCATGGCATCACAGCTCAGGGCTTAAGCAACCTCCAACTCCTGGGCTTAAGCAATTCTCTTTCCTCAACCTCCCAAATAGCTGGGACTACAGGTACCTGCCACAA